GGCAAATCGCTTGCAATAATCGTTTTCATGTTGCAGGTATTTTCCATTGCTTACGTCTAATTCGGCCATTCGGCGAAACATCAATGACTGTAATGTTAGCATGTGGGTGATGAGTCGATGAGTTGAGGGCAAAACATTCGAACTCGGACGGGACTTGAACCCGCCTTCTATATATACCCGAAGACAGAACAAAAAAATCCAGCTATTTTCTGCTGCGAAAGCCCCAGCACAAGCTTCTTTATCTCCGTAACGACCCGGAACATTAATTGAATTATGCTAAAAAGAAACAATCTTTTCCTACTGCAACTAATGTATCTAAAGAATATTAATACCACAATTAATCAGATAATGATGGATAATGGTATCGTTTTGTGATAGTTAGTGAAAGGGTCTGATTCAGGTCTCTCAAACGCCTTCCTGCTCCTTCAAAAAATTTTGTCAGGACGAATATAGTGTTACTGGCACGATCTATTACAATGATTCTACTACCCTATACGATTGTTTGAAGACGTGTATTTTCACCAAAACATGCATCTGTGCTCTTTACAGCCAGGTATACTGTATTACAAATAAAATATAACGCCGAATAATAGCTGTAGACTAAAATCGACTACAATCAAAGGCACAGTTCACGATATGCAGCTTCTCTACAGTGCCGATAAACTCGTCCGAGGGTACGCACGCGCAATCTTTGGGCCTTTATAAATTCCCTAACTAGGCTATTTTCCGACCTAAGAGTGCCAGATGTGGTATATGCGGATGCCTCAAATTCATCCTGTGGGGAAATCTCGTAAACCATTTCTATCGTGAACTGTGCCTTTAAGTAGGCCGTAGGCATGCATTGTTTTATATAAGTGTTAAATACGAGTTATTCCGTAACTTTTTACGGCCTTTGCTATAATTTTGATAAATTCAACTTCCTCAATCAAACTTACTCCACTCTTTGTATCTACTACAAACTCGAACGAAACTCCATTCCTGAGCCAGGACAGTGTACACCATTGTCAGCTTCACTCTAAGCTGATATTTAGCTCCTCACAAATTTGAATAAAGTGTTGATCTTGCTTTTCTTGTTTCATTCTCAATTCCAGTTGCTTACCTTAAAACGGAGAGACGAAGAAGCGATTTTGTGATGACCGTTGGAATAGGGCGGTCACTTATTTGATCGCTCGGGAACAAAAGAGTGGGGTGCTTCCCGTCTCCCACTCGGACAGGTTTCTGGACTAAATTGGCTTGAGACGGGGACGATTGGAGGAATTACTTGTGCAAGCTCGGAAAAGTTGGTGGTTAAAGGGACTACAGGTGATACAGGTGCAACAGAAAACCAGCCATGTGCAAGTCAGTGCTTTCACCTCGGAAATTTGAACCGTTAGTCATGTGGGTATGTGTGTGTGAGTATGTGTGTAGATGTGTGTGTGTTTGCTAACTCTGTTCGAGAAGAACAAGAGTTATAATATATTCTAATGACCAAGTATATTTATATACACACACATACACACTTACGCACACATCTACCCACTTCGTGAGCGCATCGCCCACCATGAGGGAGTTGTCAAGTCTCGAGCCATGTGGGTTAAAACACGCAGTTCAGTCTCCACTTAATAGAAGTTGGCTGCATAATTTCCCTTCGTGGCCGTAGTTCAGCTCAGTCACTTCCTGCCACCAGCAGTGATCCTATACCGTCGCCGGTACTCCCACCAACAGACCAACAGATACCAACAGTATTATGTAGTGGGATGGAGACATCCATGGCATCAGATTACAGTAATCAGAGGTATTTGTTGCGCGGAAGAATGCTGTACTGCAATAACGACTGGTACCATTGTCTTCATCCGTAGGGATCCATCAACAAAACGACATCTACGCCAGTTAAGAGCTTCCACGCTGTTATCGGCATGATTTGCTCTTTTTTCACATTCGCCTTCTCTGAAACAGTCTGAATGGCAAATGGCTGTGTTTGGAAATCAAATAAAATTCATTTTTATGGTAATAATCATATGGACGCATAGGCGCGATGGACGTAAAGTGTCAACCCTACGCCAAACTTCCTTTTCCTTATCAGCACCACGTAGCGGAAGTGATCAAGGAGAAACTGGCACACTATCACATTACAGATCGATATTCACCCAGATAATCAAGCCTCCCCTCCCTTCGAATCGGTAACTCCTCGTTCTCGCGCCACTAGAATTCTAATGGAAGTCGAGTGCGGGGCGCATCCGAAAAACAGGATTGATCAAGTGGTAGTCGCATGCTTCCTCATGGCACTTAAAGGACAATTCGAACGAATCAAGCAGCGTTCGGGATATTTGAAACAACAGCCGCAGAGATCTGATTTTTCGTCATGTATGAAGGTGAGGAGATAGTTGTAGCTTTGGTAAAATCAAATCAAATCAAATTTCATGTCAAGCCTTCGAAGCGACCATTTTTCCCTAATCAGGTAACCCTTGTTGAGTTGGATCATTCATTGCTTGAGTGCGTCCTGAACCGAGCGCACGACTGCTCTAGTCAACACCGAGGCTTTCTATCTACGAGGAAGAATGTAGCAGTGAGCTTTTTTACTAAACCCTTTGGAATCCCATGTCGTCTCGAACAGTAAGGAGGTGATAACTTAAGAAATTCACAGCTGTTAAGAAGAGTCTGGATGTCTTGGCTGGATTGTACTGGATTCATAACGCTAGATGGTATGAGTACGACACATGACCGAAATTTCAGTAGATGCACACAGTTTTTACAGTAACCTCAAGGTGAAATCATGAGCAATGGACGCAAAGTTTCATAGACTTCATAGTCCGTTTTACGGTATAACCTTCCTTCAACGTACAAATTCTCAACCAGTCACATATAAGTCGTATCAAAAAGGAACCTTTACAGTCATTTGAACAAGGGCCCGTGACCAAATTACCATATGGGCAGCCATATCGGTCATTTACTTCTGTTGGATGCGCTACCGCTTCCCCCACTGTGAATTGAGCTACCTGGTCCGTCCCATGAGCGGTAATGTAAGCAATATAGCCGCGCTGCTTCATAAAAAGCCATTACTTCATGTAGTGATACGTTCGTATGCATAAAATCCACGACCCGCACTGAAGCAGGGGAAGGTCGCCAAATGAGACTATGAGCACCAAAGTTGCATTCACTAGCTAGGAGAGAAAAGTGAAAACTATCAGTGCCCCGCAACCAAATAGAACCCACAGCCTACGAACTCCTCGATACCAATTTTCGCTGCTCTCTAAAGTCATCTGAGAATCGTAAGTACCTTTCACAAGGAAAGTTGAGCACACAGCCACCCTCACGGTACTAATAATGTAGATTTTGCGTAGCAAACGCGTATGTTGTGTAACTACGCGGTGACAGTATATTCGACGTCTAACTCGTAGGGCGATGTGGTCAGCGCGGCGTGTGGACGAGTTGTCCGCGACCAGACGCTCGGTCGATTGTTTGGTGGCTTGGAAGTGGCGGGTGCGAAGTCGCGCACATTTCATTTGAATGTCTTTTTTCTTTGTTTTTCTGTGGTTATCCTTCAAAATTGGTAGCTTATCGAGTGTTGCTCACTTTGCTGAGTATTTTGTTCCAAGTAATACTTAACATACTGCTCTACGAACACTAAGTTGGCAATGCACCCAAATTTCTCAGGTGGTGGATTTAGTATTTCTCTAAAGTCTTAGTTCGTATTCTTCTGCTCTCGGCAAGCATTTTATCATCATTTTTCTGCAATATGATCGTGCTATTCCAATAAAGAGTCGCGCCGAGCCTGTAATTTTACTCTTCAGTAAATTCAAACTTAGTATCTATTCGTAGGTGATGGTGAAGCGCGGCAATGGTCTCTCTCCACAAAAAGATCTTCGTCGTTCAAGTCGTGAACGGTCTATGGTCTACCGCAGTCTAGCAGAAAATGATCTCGCTGAACATCATTTGCGTGGCAGTTTCATGAAAAGTATCATTCGGACAGCAACAGCACAACTTCACAAGGTTTTTTTCTTCTTCCTGAACAACTTATATTTCTTAGCTCGACCAGTAGAGGAAAACTCGATTAATCGTGGTTGTAGTGGTAATATGTATATTACTCGACCCTTTCTCTACTGCTTTTGCTTTCTCTGACTCTGACTTCTTTCACTTGACTCCCTCCTAGCCAAATGAAAGGGGAGGAGCGTCGTTATCTTCCCACCTTTTCGATTTTTTGCAATCTTTATGTTTTCATTATTCACAAATCTATTTGTTATTTGCATTATTTTTCGTTGTTACTTCTTGATTCACAGCTTTCATCTTATACAGGAGCTGATTCAAGCACAGCCTGCTGCTGGGTATACGCGTTCTGGGAGGAGGATAGCTGGCAGTATTCACTACGAAGAGAGTGATTCCTCAGATGAACGAGAATATGAAAAACGGAGGCGTAGGAGGTAGAATGAACTAGGGTGAATAATTCAAACTCTGATGATGTCCATTTCATTTCTTTTTCAGGTATGCTAAAGTATACAATGATGAAAATGTTGATGTACGATCACCTAGCCCAAAGCAGCGTTGTCCAGTAAGAAGGCGTGATATAAGAGAAGAAGATAATCATGAGGTAGTATTTTTGTACTTGGGAAGTGAAGAATCTGTTTTCATCCGTTTTCAAAGTTGAATGTTTTAGAAGGAACAGGCTGTACCAGAAGTTTCGAGACAATACGATATCGAAAGTGCCAATATGTACGACACAATCAAGAGGGAAAGAAAAACTGTCACGTGAGTAGGCTGCCCTCGAAGTGGTCTTCATACTTTTTTACCAGTCTGCTACTTTCAGCCCTAATTCTTTACCTAACTCTCCAACTTTAACAAACGGAAATCATAACAAAAGTGCTTGCGAAACCGCTCGCAGTTTACGTCATGCTAACAGGGAACGTTTGTCAACTGGTGATGCTGTGAAGGATGAACCTAATGGTGACGTGGAAGGAAGTCAGTCTAGCGAAGAGGTTAGATTTTTATTTCTTTTGAATTACTCGGTAAAGTTATAGTGGAGAGGGTTGTTTCAGACGGATGACGACGACGAGGAAAAAACGCCTGAACCTCGCCAATACTCACTCAGAAAATTCCGACAGCCGGTAGACCGTTTTGCCGCTACTGTGACGTTGAAAGAAAGCCATAGGTATCGATTAACGATCTAATTAAACTCAGTGGTTCCTTTCGATTCCTTCTCAATAAAAGTGGATACTGTACTTCAGGGAGGAAAGAAGCGAACGAAGGAGTCGTGGACGTTCCACGGATCGAAGGGATCGCAAAGCGAAACGTGCTTCAAAGCGGTAATTCTCCTACATTCTCGGTGTTGCATTTTCCCATCCTTTTCATAGTATTTCCAACTGGGTGTCTAGCTGTGCTAGCAGAGGAGAGGCATTGAATTGAATGAGAATTGCCATCGATTTTTTCAATGTGAATCCACATCATTGAAGGCGTAGACGGGACATGCGCAGCGACTCCTCGTCAACTTCATCTAGTGATAGCAGTGGTGATCGTATAAGAAGTCGTAACGATGATGTGCGATTTGAGCGACGAAAAGAGAGAAGCCTAGCGAAAGCGCGTAATCGCTACATGCCCATCAACCTCAATGGTAAGTGTGTTTTTCCTACGAGAATCTAGAGAATTTCAGTCTTTTGCTTATTTCCGGAGCTTAAAAATGACTAACTCTAGAGAAAGATTTAACGTCAAGCCAGGCAGTGATTCGTGAGCGCTTGCGTCAGACAGGTGGATCATGCACAGATATAGACCCGATGAGCATCGACAGAGGCATCGGATTTGAGCAGGTCTGAATAGGATGCATTTTTCTTACTTGTATTTTTCGTATTGTATATTGTTAAAGGTGGGAGGTCTTGGAGCGCATATTCAATCACTGAAAGAAGTTGTCCTTTTCCCCATGCTATATCCGGAGATATTCAAACAATTCAATATAACGCCTCCCAAAGGAGTTGTCTTCTATGGGCCACCAGGTAATTATTTTAATTTGATTCCCCATGTCTTTTTTTCAGTTTCCGTTAAAAGGTTCCAATATTATGCTCTTACGTAGTATGATATGAGTTTTATCCCTATATTTGAGGAACGGGAAAAACTTTGATGGCTCGTGCGTTGGCCAATGAGTGCTCCAAAGGAGGCAAGAAGGTGACACTATCTTTTCTCCCTTTCATTTTAACTTTTTCGGTTGGAAAGTAGAAGCGCCCGTTCAATTTTAATTGTTCAGGTAGCTTTCTTCATGAGAAAAGGTGCAGACTGCTTGAGTAAGTGGGTAGGCGAAGCAGAAAGGCAACTACGGTGTGTGGTTTCACGTGCAATTTGTACTTCGGTTTGATATTCATTTAACAATTGCAAACAAGTTTTTATCAATCGCAATTTGAGTGTGCTATTCGATCAAGCATACGCTATGCGCCCCTCCATAATTTTCTTCGACGAAATTGATGGGCTTGCCCCAGTCCGATCCTCAAAGCAGGACCAGATCCACTCGAGCATTGTCAGCACCCTTTTGGCTCTGATGGATGGATTGGATAGCCGCGGAGAGGTTTTTACCGGCTAATTATCTTGCTAAGTCAATGGCCTTTAAAAAGTTTATTAGGTAGTGGTGATTGGAGCCACGAATCGTTTGGATACCCTGGATCCGGCTCTACGGCGTCCCGGAAGATTTGACAGGGAACTGAAATTCTCACTTCCTGACGCAAATGCCAGGTAAGGCTTTGTTTTAATGTACTGTAACAGCAATATTGCGCTTAGTTTGCTTATTCTTCTACTTTCCAGAAAACAAATACTAACTATTCATACAGCAAAATGGGGAACCAGCCAACCTGACGAGAGCACACTGACATGGCTTGCGGATGGAACAAGTGGCTACTGCGGGGCCGATCTACAGGTATCTCCTTGTTCTTTCTTCAAGCCTTCGATTGATTTCCTAATTTGAGATTTCAGTATTTATGTACTGAAGCTGTACTTGTCGCGTTGCGGTCTCGTTTTCCGCATATCTACATGTCAGAGGAGCGCCTCAAACTGGATCCTTCACTGCTTGTCATTGATAGAAGCTGTTTCACAAGCGCCATGCGCAGGATTACTCCTGCCTCAAGAAGAGGTGATTTCATCTTTTCATTTTTTTTTNTTTTTTTTTAAGAGAGAGAAAGAATCTTAATAATTTTGTCCCTAACGTTAAGAAGGCGAGGGCAAGCGGGGTGTCGGTAGTTTAAGGGATAGAGCACAGTGCCCGTACAGCATAAGTACGGGTACGAGTTCCGTCCAAAACTGAAGTTTTGTCCATAAATCGCCAACCTTGTGAGAATGCTGTCCCTAGTTTTGAAAATCTACGTAAAAGGTTGGAAGTCTGGTTGAGCAACTGTTGTACTGAACTGTTCCTTTTCATTTTCTTGACTGATTTTCCATTCTTCGTTCAGATCTTTCAATCCCATCTCGTCAACTCGATGACCGTACCTCGATTCTATTGTTAAGTACAGTTACATCTTTGTTGAATATACGCATACCGTCCGGATATAAAAGTTCACAGTCTGTTCAAAACAGTTCGGTATCTGAATTGGAAAAGGTGGTTCGCGCTCTGGAACAACCGCCATGTGTGCCAGCAGGTAAGAACGATGTTAGATAGCACTTCTTAGAGAGTTACATATCTTCTCTTCAGTGCGTCTCCTAATCTGCGGCAGTCCATCTCATCCGGATCTAGGTCAGACATCCTATGTTCTGCCTGCTGTGCTCGGAAAGCTTGATCACCTCCCTGTGTTTTCTTTAGCGGTAGCTAGACTGTTTTCGGATGGGAAACCAGAGGTATCTTTTGATTGAATTCAGTCTAGTATCAGCAACGAAATTAATGAGTCAGTTGCCTATTTCAGGAAACATTGGCGCAAACAATACAATCTGCACTTCGTTCAGCAGCCAATGGTCCGTGTGTTCTTCTTCTTCCAAGCATTGACCAGTGGTTTTCAGTCGTTCCCCCAAGTGTCACTCACATGGTATGTCGTATAAAAAGCGAAAACCAATTCTATTAGGATAAGTCGAATTTCACAAATTTTTTTCTCCCCAATAGGTTTATTGGGTGTATCGATGGGCTAGTTATATAAGCTTTGTAGTCTTGCTGGGTCAGATGGTTTTGCGGGCCCCCTGCTATTTTTGGTCTGTAGCAGATTACTATTGTGCTTAGCTCGCAACAGCTCTCGACTCCATGCATGGTTTCACGTCGATTCTTTTTCTGGCATCATGTGATTGTGCTTACGACTCATGTTGCCCGGAAGTCAAAGATCTATTCGGTCCATCACAAAGTGTTAGGTAGATAAGCCTTTTTTGAAAACCCTTTTGTTTGTTGTCTCACCTCGCCTTGTTTTTTAGCCTCACTCCACCCAAAGAACTATACCGGCGTCATTATTTTGAACATATCATTGCAAATGCCCGTATTCCGCCGAAAATTTTTGATCGTAAGTTCTTGACTGTTTTGAATTTATGTTCGAAAGCTTATTCAGTTTTTTTTAGCTTCGATATACAAAGAACCGGAAAAAGCTGACCCAGAAGATGCCAAGGTAACTCGAAAGTTGAATGAAAGAGAGGCAAGGGAACTTGTCAAGGAGTACGAGAGTCAACTTCGCCGCTTCCGTATATGGGCGAGAGATAAACTAAGTGAGAGCAACTCTCCATAAATTGCTCTTGTCTTTTTCCTTTTCAATTGCGTCATGTCTTTTCTTTGTGCTTTGTGAGGCAACCATTTGTGCAGGTGCTCTTCGGCGGGACAGACGTTTCACGATTTTCGTCAAACCTGTTGATGTAGAAGACGTTGAAGACTACTACGATGTCATAAAAAACCCCATGTGTATATCAGAGATGGAAGATAAAATCGATAGGTATGGTGCCATGTCGTTTTTACAGTGTTGAAAACTCTCTACAATATTTTCTATTCCCTTTTTCCCGTTTTCGTTTCTGTCTTTCCTGTTTTTTTACGTCATATTCAATTCCCATCCAATTTCGCTCAATAGCTGTTCTTTGAAGACAGGAGTACCTCCATCCTGACCATCTTTTGAGCGACATTCGTTTGATACGAGACAATGCTATTGAGTACAACCCGACCACTACTGACGAAGGTTCGTCTTTCGAAATATTGGATAAGGCTTGAATAAGTTGACCGACTATATCAATCTTATTCAGGTAGAATTATTAGGCACAATGCGTATGCCCTTTGGGAAACCGTTGTTGACTTATTCGACGTCGATTTGGATGTGGATTTCGTAGAGTCCCTTGAGGTTTGTCGTTACACAAAAAGTTAGTAGTCCTGATAAGCTTGAGTTAACTAATTTGCATTGTGACGCGCATGTTTATAAGTGTTGGGGTTATCACGGTGAACAACTGTAGTTCGTGAATTTCAACTACTGTTTTCAGAACAATGCCAAGATGTTGGCCGATGCAGGAGTTGAACCCTCCAATGAAAAGCTTTTGGAACTACCTCCTGGTTTCAAGCGGAATGTCCCGTGGAGTGTCAATGCGGGATATATGACGCAGGTAGCAAGAGAAGAGGGTGAAGCGAAGAAAATGGACAACCCACCCGTTAGTTTTTCTTCATTGTTTCCTTTGCAAAATCAATTAAAGTTCAATGCTTTACTTGCTGATATTTCCCTTTTTTATATTTATGTGCACGTTCATCTTTCCTAACACCTCTTATTGACTTTGTTGTAATTCCATCCCCTTTTCCGGAGAATGGGGCAGTACTTTAGGCACCGACTAGAACGCTTGCCAACGGGATGCAAAGGGTGCGATTCCGTAATCGAAGAAGAAATGGTGGCTATGCTTTCCCCAATTCAGCCAAGAAGAAGAAAACAGCTGCCATTGTGAAGTCTTTGAAGCAGTCGCTATCTAAGTATGCTCCAGTGTTTCGCTTTATTTTATATTGAGATTCCTGTATAGTTACCACCAAAGCGTTTTATTTGTTTAGTGGCGTCGAAGAAAGCTCTGAGGAACCAACTTCTCAGGGTGGCTCTGATGAAGAGCTAGTTGAAAATGGTGTTCCAATGGAAGTAGTTGTTGAGGAGAAGAAGAAACCGGAGCTGCCCATCAAGAGAGCGCTCGTCCTCTCAGAGGCGAAATTAAGTGAAGTCGTCAATAAGGTGCGCTCCGTTGCTTTCAACATTTGGTTTCATAGCCAGCTGAAGCAAATGGTCTGTTCTGAGTAACAACAGCTTTTGCTCCGAAGTTGCATATTTCAGAAAACCTGCGCTCTTTGTATGCTTTTTTCAGAAAGATTCTTTTTTTCAGTGTGTGGAACATACTAACGGATGGTCTGTAAGCGAGCTGGAGCGGCTGGCTGCCGTTATTGCTCATGACATTGAGGAGTATCGGTGAAGCTCCCTACACTATATTTCTTTCATTTTTAAACGCCTTTTTCACGAATTGGCATTCATTTTCAAAAATTTTAAAATCATGGTTTGCACTATTCCCCTTCTACTCTTGGGACTGGGCCAGAACCCTGAGTAAAGTGAGGAAGCCACGTACAATTACTTATTTATTAGTTTGATAAATTATCGACAGCATGACATCAGCAAGAAGAGAGTTGTTAGTGCGAGAAGGAGTCATGAACTTGTCAAAAAAATCGAAAGTACTACTTTTAGAGGAGTGAAAACGCTGGCAAAGTGAATAGCGTCAGAGCATAGCAATAAGAAGAACATTACAAATCGCACCTACGGCTTAACTCGCCTTTTAGTATTAGGTGTATGCCTATTGTGGAATAAGTGGTGCAGGAGAGCTCGTGAAGTCGATGGATAAGGACTTCAAGCGGCTAAACCTGAATTCCATGATGCCCGCTCCGGATCGAAATTGAAGTCATCGCGCTGAGGTTGAAGGCAAGGACGCAAAGGACACCTGCATCAGATGGACTAAGATGTTTTCCGCCACAGGGAGAGATTATCAAGGGATTGAAGTACTATGTGGCGAGGGTTACCGGCCACAGTGTAAAATCGGCAACCAGGTTTATGATGAAAACATTCGCAGCCATCTGATTAGGGCAACATAGCAGGGGTATGAAGTTGAGGCAGGTCTCCAAGTTCTAGGCTTCTAGTGAGGCTTATCCTAGTTGAAGAAAACATCGCACCAGTCGCACTTTTCGCCATATTCGACGCACTGGTATTCCAAGCGTGCAATAGATATGTACATATTCAAAATTCATGAAAAATGTAGGATATTCAAAAGACCAGTAATACTACACAAATAGTTGTGTAAGAATAGGAACAAAATTACAACTTGAATGAAGTCAACAGCACTATAGCAAAAGCTACAGAAGATATCCTATAGAATGTAAAAATTCATCAGTAATGCAAATGACATATATATTTCCTTTACCAAGAAGTTCAGCTATCATCTGTGTCACTTGAATTTCCACCTTACGCTTTCTGTACATGATTTTAGTGTTGTAGTAAACATCAGTTTTTAATTGCTCTGTTTTAAGGGATAAATGGGACCGTTCAAAACTGCCAACAAAGCTAATAGCCACCGTCACTTCTTGGGAAGTGAATGCCGGAAGAGCTGTTATTTCTGATTGACGTGTATTGCCCACTGCCGCAGTGTCTTTCACGTTAAGTTGTTGGTGCGAATATTTGTATGTACAAACACATATGCTCTCTATTTCGGTCATATGGACGGGGCTTTCCCTACCCGTTGAGCTTGTTCATGGAAACGTGTCTGTTGAATTTTACTCATTTTCTATTTTTGCTATTTTGCTACTTTTGTTGATGCTGTTTACGCACGCCCATGTCTACATTGATTCCGTTCAAGTGTCAAAGTTATATTGGTTTCGGTAGGTGTGGTCACCTGTATCATACACTTTCGTCGTTGTAGATCTCGATATGGCCTTCGCTTTTTTGTCCTTATTATTATTAATTATGCCTCAGTCATTCTAGCAACTTAACAGATTTTCTTGATCACTGCGCTTTGGTAGACTTACCGCTGAATTTTACTCGTTGGTTTCCTAACTAAATAGTAAAGTCTTCAACTTTCTGTGTCTCTCTCTTAATTACGCGTACTTGCGCTCTATACATGCCCAAACTATTCTTTGTTTCTATTTCAAATGCGCTATCGAGGAAAAGTAGTCTTTAATTCAGATGGACTTCCAGAACAGAGCTGGAGGAAAAACAGGTGGGGGTGGTGTTGCTTCTGCTCAGGATGCTGGTGTGGATCGAAGAGAGCGGCTGCGGTATGTTAATCGACTTTTTTTCTAATCGCTTCTTCTTGTACCGAATTCGTTTGGCTTGATTTACTTGTTTTGTTTTTAGACATTCTTGTTTCACTGGCAAGGTCTTTAATTTTGTAGGCAGTTGGCACTGGAAACAATTGACTTGCAAAAGGATCCGTATTTCATGCGAAATCATTTGGGTACTTATGAGTGCAAACTGTGTCTAACACTCCACAATAACGAAGGTATAGCTGTTACTTCGTCGCAGTTACTACAATGGGCGCACCTCAATTTTTAAAGCAAAATTTGTATGTCTTAACGCATTCATTTATGGCAGTTTGTCAAGCTATGGGCCAGCATAGGCTGGAGCGACATTCCAACACAGCCACTGAAAGTCTAGTTTTTCTTTCTGTTGTCATCGCTCTCTCGCTCATATTTTAGGCGTGTCGAATGTAGCTATTATCTTTGATATTCTTGAATTTCTTTTTTTCTGCTCCAGTTCAAGAATTTACCAATGATAGCCAATCCCCACGCGTCTTTTTCGAGGAGAGATGTATTATTTGAATTTCAGGATCCTATCTTGCCCATACTCAGGGTAAAAAGCATCAGTCGAATTTGGCAAGAAGAGCGGCGAAGGAGGCACAGGAGCAGCCGTTTCTTCCTGCACCGGCCCAACCAAAAATTGAACTGCGAAAGTTCGTCAAGATTGGTCGGCCTGGTTACAAGGTATGATCTTTCATTTTAATTACCCCTGTGTTCCATTTCGACTATGAATCGTAGGTGACACGAGAGCGTGACCCAGCCACAGGACAACAGGCTCTTCTTTTCCAAATTGATTATCCTGAAATTGCTGAAGGTGTGCAGCCAAGGCACCGCTTCATGTCCGCTTATGAACAGAAGATTCAACCGCCTGACAAGAGGTATAACTTATTATTATTCATTAACTATTATACTTCACCATCATTATGAGATCCATTTTCAGGTGGCAATACCTACTTTTTGCTGCAGAGCCTTACGAGACAATAGGTTTCAAAATCCCATCCAGGTTGGTTTTGGATCTCTTTACTTTTTTCGTCGTTCTGTCGATAGTTGAAACGTACTTCACGACAGTCCTCGAAAATTAGAGCATTTAACTAATCTCTATTAATGGCCTGCTTAGAGATTGCAGTTCTCTGTGAGCGAACTACCAGAGATTTTAATTTGAACATACTCTCTAGAACATTTATAATAATTGTTGGCTTAATCATCATTTTGTCCCAACCTTCTGACTGTCGAAGTTGTTTAAATGGTTCAGTCAATGCTTTCTCGGATGTATACTTTACAGGGAAGTGGACAAATCTGAAAAATTCTGGACAATGTGGAATAAGGACACGAAACAGTTCTTTTTACAGGTAACAAATTTGTTGTTTTCAGATGCTTCATTCTTTTTCCAACGTGTATAGTGAGGTAGTTCATTTACTCTACTGAAATGAATCGTTTCTTGAAAAAATTGAAATTGGAACCAAAGAGGAAGGAGTGAGCTTGCAAAAGTAGGTGAGGCTGTGCCACATTTGGATGACATTTCGCTAAAGTAATCTTGATACACAGCTTGAACAACAGAAGGAAGAAAAGGTCCTTCATTCGCGTGGTCTCGTGAGCATTTACCATGTTTGCCTGGCAAGTGGGATCATTTTTAGGCTGATGTTATCAAATTGATCAAATATTTTCTGGTCATAGTAGGGCAAATAAATTGAGTAAATCTCTTTTGTTTTCTTAATGTGGCAGATTTGATTTCTGAAAGATTTTAGGTCGCCTTTAGAATTGACTCTCGTGTAAACGAAAATGAGGTACAACAAGCTCCGCCTCCAGTGATGAACGCTCCCATGCCACCTCCTCCAATGTTTGTTCATTACTAAATACTTTGTTTTTTTCTTGGTCTCGTCTCCAGCTCGTTGTTTTGGGCTATGTAAATGTGTTATTTGCTGAATGTGTTGTATTGAATACTTTGCAAATAAATCGTTTCCTCTGTCGTTATTCGAGTATTCTGTTACTGCATAGGAGAGTTGCACGCATACTTGACCTAACCTTACTATGCAGGCTTTTTTGACGCCCCGTGCTTCGAAATGGATTTGCAGACTGTAATGTATGAAGGATCGGTGCTGGATAGTAGTCGATTACAGAGAGCGCTTGAGTAGGGAACTTTTTTTGTATTTGCAGGAGCAGATTTTATCTGTAAGTTTGGTTAAATGGGTGAAAAGAAGAAGAAGGAGGCGAAGGAAATCACAATTGTTCCTTCCACTGGATTGGCGAAAGGTTGTACGACCATTCTACTAAAATCTACTAAAAACAAGGTTGACGTATCCCATTTTAGGGGCAGGCGTTCTTCCTGAAAAGAAGAGAAAAAAAGACTTCGGCAGTACTGGGCATAAAGATGAGAACGAGGTCCCTTCTCCTGATTCTACGGTTAAAATTAAAAAGAAGAAAAATGACGAGATATCAGCGACTATGGTAACAAGTAACCTAAGTGAAGGTAAGAGTCTTTTTGCAGTTTCGGGACTGTTGATTGTTAGGCTGTGCTGAGATTACCGTCAGATTTGGGTTTTGGTGATCGTTTTTCTGTGCTCACGCATGGAATTTGCTGAATAGTAGCGCTCACAAAATTTCAATAGGATTATGCTGCTTCTAAACACCTTGTCGATGCTTAATTACTTGGTTGTTGGGTCTATATGAGTTCGGCCAATTGTGGGCTATAACGAATGTTTCCTTTGCTTCTATTCGGAACTACAACTTGATTTGCCCATAAATTGCAAGTTCATCATCTGCTGTATAAATTCAAATTTTAGTTCATGCTCTTTCCAATAGGTTTTGTCCAAGCCGAAGGTAAATAGAAGAGAAGGTATTTAAAAAGTAGCCATGTGCATTTCCGAAATTCAACTTCGAGAGCTTGGGTTAAGTAAAGTTAGTGATCATGTAATTGAAGACCTCACTTTTCATGAAGATATTACTATCGGTATGTTGCAGCCATTTTGATGCACCACCTCTGATTTTTAATGAACCATAATCTGGATGATGCAGTGTTTTGATTTTCAGACACGGGCGACTTTGTTGCGAAGAAAAAAAGAAGATCTGTCAACGTTGCTGAAATAGCTCTAGGCTCTACTCCTCTTCGTGAGCAGTCCAAACATTCAAAAAAGAAAGAGCGAAGAAGTGAAGGCTCCACGCAAGCATTAATTGATCAACCTGAAGGTCTGTGTTTGAACAGATCAGCTTTCAGCCATTACCAAGTTCAGCATTGGTCATAGCGGGATTCTTATGTTCTTTTTAGGCACAAGCCCTTCAGCCATGAAGAAGAAAATTGCAAAGACGGCTGAGCCCACAGCAGGTTCTCATGAGGAGACTTCTGAGCCGCCCAAAAAGGAAAAGGCGAAGAAAAGGGATAAATCTTTCGTAGAGCCAAGTTCTTCTTCTGGAGCAGGAGATCAAGCGGGTACCGAATGTTCTTTTCGTTTAGCAATGATGAATTACACTTTTACTGTAATAGAAGTGATCGAAAAGAAAGTTGACGTTGAAAGGCTAACTCACTTTAATTTCTTATTCTTAACCAGCTATTCCCTTTCCCCTTTCAGTCGTTGATGAAATAATTACACCTACGAAAAAGAAGCAACGAAGGGAATCTGAAGGTCAGAATGTCACTGAGACAGAAATCAATGGTAGAATATTCTGATGCTTTTTTTCTCGGTGTTGTTGCTGTCTCTATGCTTACATATCTGTTTTTGCTGTTATTTGAGGTCTGGATGAAAGTTCATCTGTCAAAAAGAAGAAGAAAAAGATGGAAAATGGAGATGGTTTGTATGTTCAGCAGGGGATAAACGAAGAGGATAATTCTGATAGGAAATGGAAGAAAGAAAAGAAAAAGAAGCAAAAGGCAGTAGAAGAGCAGGAAGTGGCTGGAGGAGTAGCGAATGGTAAATTGTTTTTGTCCGAGTCTCGGGTTTTCTTTTTTCTCTCGCCTCAGTGGTTGGCTCATAATGTTTCAGATTCTTCCGCAACAGCCACGCCAATGTCTAATAAGAAACGAACTGCTTTTGAGGAGGAGCAAGTTATTGATAAATCAGTAAATGGTAAAGTCGTCGATGATATTGCTGAGCTCAAACATTCAAAATTTATGGTTATTTGAGGTTTGGACGGGAGCTCGTCTGTCCATAAGAAGAAGAAGAAGAAGGAAAATGGTGGTATTCTGGTAGATAAACCAGCGACGAACGAGGACGATAGTAATACTAGCCCCTTCCAAAAGGAGAAAAGTAAAAAAGAAAAGGCAGTCGAAGAGCTGGAAGTGGTTGAAGGAGTGACGAATGGTGAGGGGTTTCGAATTACTTTGACCGGAGCCTTTGCTGCATTTGATCACTAAGTGTGCTGGCTCCTGATTTTCTAGAAGCTGCTCAAACAGCCACACCCACCATAAAAAAGAAAAGAAAGGCAATGGAAGAACAAGAGATTTCTGCTGGAAAAACAATGTCTGGTAGGGTGATCTTATATGACGTATTGTTTGCTTCGGATTTCCCCATTTTCTGTTGTTATTTGAGGTATGAACGGAAGCTTGTCAGTCAAAAAGAAGAAGAAGAAAAAGAGGGAAAGCGGTGATTCATCGGTGGTTGTCGGGTTAAATGAGTCAGTAAATGATGACACTCCACAAAAGAAGAAAAAGAAGAGTACGGTTGCCACAACTGTTACCACGAAGCAGCCTGAAGGTACGAACTGATCCCATCCGATCCAAAAAATGATGAGGCTGGGTTGCAAAAAGCAGCTATTTGCTGATACGCTGTCTATTTCGTTTTATTTTGAGTTTAACCGGCTTTTTTTGTGGGTATTTCCTGACCAAATGGACGTTCACGGATCTGGGCGTTCCAGTTTCGAATACTTTCTTTGATATAGAGGACTTTTTTTTTCAGGCGAGTACGTAGCTGGCTCTCTTTCAAGAATTTTTGGTGGAAATTCAGCTCCAGCCCAATCAGGTATGGTCGATGCGAAGTTTCTGAGATGAGCCTCTGCTCTTACGATCTCATTCATTCTTTGAGATAATAGGAACATCGGCTCTCGTGATCCTTTATATACTTTTTTCACTTCAGAAACGGTTCCCATTATAAAAGGAGAAGCAGTAATCAGACCGAAAATAAAAAAGGCTAAGGAGGAGTCTAAAGCTGACACGGAGAGTTCTGAACCAAGTTCTAAGCAGGAGTCGGAAAATAAATGGAGTGATCGCGTGCAGCAACGGTATCATTGTGGTTTCGACTGTCCTGTTGTTGAGGGGTCGTACTTCATTGTTTTGCTAGTTTTTATATCAGTCTATAACGATTTTCGAACGTGAAATAATAACATTCAAAACAAGTTTTTGGAGAAGACTTTTGTCTTCAGAGAAAACCGTAAAAAGGAACAACGCATGACATTGGACGAGAAGAAGCGTACTCTCTTTGTTGGCAATGCTCCATTGTCCATGGATGAACGATCATGTAGAAAGTTGTTTTCTCAGTACGGCCCGGTGAGAGTTTCTCGGTTTGCATTACTCAGAGAAAGACGAGCTATGCCTTAATTTTCTAGATCGAGTCAGTTCGGATGAGAGGCGTTATGCCACCTAAACAAACGATCACGAAGCGTATCGCTCATATTTCGCACTCTTATCATGAGAAGCAGAATTCGCTGAATTTCTATGTGAAATTTAAGGACGAAGAGTCGGTCAAAAAGGCCCTGTCATAGTGAGTTGAACTTGAGACACTTTGTTAAAAGTTTCATTCGGACTTACTGTTATATCTAAAGTTACCCCACTAAGCCTTGCTTAGAGATTTTTGCGCGACTTCAGTTGATAGCTACTGAACGAAAAATGGTGATTTTGAGAAAACGCTAACGATCGGGTGTTTCCGCGGATTTGTTCTGCGAATAGTTTCAGGTCGTGAAGGCTCTGATTCTCGGGCAGAATAAAATAGAAGAAGAATTAATTTATTAGTAATTCGAAACCGTTTCTCGAGTGCGTCCGCCCCTTCCATTCAGAATCGTAATGGGTTTGTGATGCGTAAGTGGCATACTTGATGACTCGCTGGGCTAGCTGATGAACAGATCACATACTACCACAGTACTACTACCTTTACGAGTTTGGTACCGTTCAAGCCACCCCAAAGGAATGAAAGGCCCAGTCGACCTGAGCGGGTGTTGGTCTGGAATTCGATCCTGAGACCATCCTTGTGGTAGCGCGCCACTCCCCCCTTCACAATTTTCGCTTTTCGCCAGGGTATGGAAACTTAAAGGGCATATAGAGAAAGGATCAACTCAGTCTTGATTGTGCTATCGCCTAACTGAATTCTTTCAGTAATGGCACAATCCTGGACAGACATCGTATTCGGGTCGACACCTGTACAACAAAGGCCGATTATGACCGGAAACTAACGGCTTTTGTGGGTAGGCAAAGTCAAGAATTATTAGATTCCAGCGTTTTCGGAAGGAGGTTTATACCATACAATCACGAGAGCACTAGTTTTTTGATTTTTTCATTCAGGGAACCTACCGCTCGACGTGAAAGACGATGAGTTGGCAGAGTTTTTCGAAGAAAATGTTGGAGGAGTCAGTTTTGTTCGCTGTGTAAGAGACTCGTCGAGTGGCATGGGGAAAGGAATTGGTTTTGTTGTATTCAAGGTAAATCTTTATGTATTACTGATTGAAATGATTTTTCAATTCTTTAGAATGAGTTTGTGAATAAATCGTAGTAGTTCTTCGACTGTTCATTACAGTCTCCATCTTCTCTACCCCTGGCTCTCAGTTTGACAGGAGTGGAATATCAAAAACGTGAACTTCGCATAACAAAAGTGATGAGGAAGGCTAAAGTCGCTGTGAGTAAAGAATTCCATCGGAAATTCCTTTAAAAAACTTAAAGAATCCCTATTCAGAAGGTACAGCAAGCCAGAAAGAAGAGCAGTAGTACCCAAGGACCGAAACTAAACAAGAATCAAGAGGAAAAGATCAATAAGTATAAGTTCTCAACAAAAAAGTAAGCTTTTTTTTCAAGAAGTATTTATCCAACTGGAATCACTCGTACACTCCATGCATTAGGCTTGGATTGTGACTCCTACGGATAAATAGATGCCTTTATAGCCTGAATAGTGAGTTGCAAGGGTAAGCTTACGTCTTAGTGAGTAACTGTCGGGTTACGACGTAGGAATTTTGAAGAAGGCTTGAATTACAGTATCTTTGCAAATATGATCTGTTCAGAACTCAACAGAGTGAGCGCCCTATGCTGAAAAAGAAAGCTAGGAAAGCTATCCAGAAAAAGAAAAGTGGAAAGCCGGTGAAAAGTCTCATGCAGTAGAGAGTTCGTTACACATAGTGATAGTTGACGTGTCGTTGTCTCCAAAATTGTTTCCTTTGCACGCAAATGTTGTTGTCTGTTGTCTGTTAGCTAATTGTTACCTGAAATGTGTTAGATGTCCGTGAATATTTTGTTCTTCGGTTCATATCATCACTGGCAATGTTGTTTGTTAAATGAATCTGGATAGGATAAACATAACAGTTCACAGATGTTCAACGCTTAATGAAGTGGACGCTTCCATGGAGAATTTCTTTCTATTACTTCTTCATAAATTTCTACATTAATTCCTTCCTTTCTGGCTTTCCACTCTCTCGATCTCTTTTTATGTCCAACATCGGTACCCAGAAGCGAGACTTCAGTAATGAACAGTTCTCTCGAGCTGACCCCTTTTTTGAATTCTTCGATCTTCTGTGGCAATGGTAATTTAATCGCCGCTAGACTACGGAGCCAGAGCCGAAGATTAATCGTTCTTGATATTAAATATTTTCGTTAGATCATGGGAGGGCTTGAAAGTGCTCATGGTTGGTTTCTTACCTAGAAGGTGGGCACAGGAAGTGGGAGTCGGTGACTGGTTGAGTGTAGGCCCCAGAATGAAGAACAGATTCCAGCCCTTCTAAATTATCTTTTCGGCCAGGAACTCGACCGAGTCAGTTCTTTCTTTGCAAGTGGTAAAAAGTTGTTTTCCCTAATCCAAATAGGCCACGAGGTTACATTCCTTTACTGAAGTATCTAGCTACAGAGTTTCGGGGTCGTTACAGCAGTCAGGCATTTCGAGCAACCCAAAACTAGTCAAAGCGATGTACGAACCGATTCCTGGCTTGACTTTGGGTTTTCCGGCAATACTATCAAAGTTTGATGGCAAGATCTCGAACTTCTACTAGTTAATTGTAATTTCAAGTCAGAATTGCCATGGTCATGATTAGTGTTGGGCCTACTGATATCTGCAGTTAGCTACATTTTCTGTTTCCGGTATATTTGATGACTTATTTTGATTGTCGATCGAACTTGGTTAGCCTCGAATTTCAGGATTCGGAATAATTGAAAAGCTATTCAAAAAGCCATAGTTTCGGAAACCGTAACTGCCTGAGCATGATAGAATGGTCCCCTGTTTTGAAAGCGGTTTGAAAATATCCTTGTGTTAGATAATGGCTGTAGGCGATCTTTCATGAGGAATGAGGTGGTCTGAGAACCGCCTCGAGTTCGGCGATATCTTCACTCTGTCTGTTGGGTTTATTGATGCTTTCGTTTGCGACCAGCATGCAAGGCGGCAGCTCTTCACTGTTGTATAAACATCAAGTCCCAACAGTCCATGCCGCTTCATTTATGGATTTGTTTCGTATATGGTTGTCTAGAATAAACTATGGAATTTTAAACTACTGCATCGTTAGCTAACTAGTTGATTCTAGAGTCGATTTCCATCAATTCTTCCTTTCTGTGGTTTGGGGTTCTGGCTTTATAGCATAGTCGCGTAGAGCATCTTCGATAAAAGACGAGTAGAAATCCAGTCGTATAGGGTAACTCTCCTATGCGGTCCTTGTTTTTTTAGATTTGCCCAGAAATTTCCGGGAAGGCTAAGGCAGCCTTCGTTCCAGTACGACGTTTGAACTCCTTGCTCTATGAAAAAATGCACTCCTTGTTGAATTTGAAGACAAAATCAAAGCTGGGATGCTGGAAACGGTGTTTTCTAGTTTTCTAGTGTTCGAAAGCCATTGCATGGATTCTGAACACATTCAATTGTGTTTATGATTTGGAACAGAAGTCGGATATATGGCGCATCCTGGCAAGTCGACTTGCGCTAAACCACTCGCGTCACTGTTCCGTTACTACCCGTCATTTTCTATCTGGTAGATCCATATTCTTGACATATCCGGAGTTGATTGAGCATTTGGTTTTATAAGAAAACTGAATAGAGATTAGTCATGAGTGAAAGTTCTTAACATGAGTTCTACATTTACCACTCTACCTCATTACTTTTATAAAATTCTCTCGTTAATCGCGCAGTTTCATTTTTTTTTTGCAGTTTTCTGACCAAATTTCTCGTAACTCTTTCCTTCTCCACCCTTTGATCATTCTCTTGAATTACGAATCTCTGTAATAGTTTCATTCAGGGTGATCCCTTCTGGCTATGCAAAAATCCATGGTTCACGAGACCATTCATCGATTGGAATCGTTCGAAATTTATACGACTAAATGAACAGCTGAAGAACCTCTATGNNNNAGCTAGCTTTCTACAGTTACAGTTACAGTAGTTACAGGACTACAGTTAGATGCTATCCGCACCCTAATTCATCGCGTGGGTCCAATCGCACTCTGAACATTCCGTTTTCTTCACTACTTATTTTTATTTACCATTTGGAACCTTTTTTGGTGGATTCCGGTCTGTATTCCGCAATATCTCTGCATTTCCATAAAGGACAAGAAGTTAACTAGCTAGCATCCAAATAAGTTTGAAAAACTGTGAGATTCTCATCAGGACTAAGAGGAGAGCTAGGTGGTTGAGAATTTTGGAGACATTTCTGATAGGATCTCCTCTATGGGGAAGTACTATGTAAAGTGAGATTCATAATGTTGCAAAGGAAAACGAAAATTCTAGGGGAATTTTTTATTAGGCCCCTTCAACTGATCACCATTGTGTGCAAATACCACACGTCTTGGAGCAGTACGTCTCTGCGATGTTGTAGAAGTCCGGTTGAGTGCACATTCCTGCATGTTTTGGGCCCAAGCAGAACTGTTCACCGCCCGCATCTTCGCATACCTTAAATTTTTTGTCACAAAAACTATGTTCAAGA